ATATTGGGGGATATATCCCCATATTGGGGGATATATCCCCCATCTCCCGGGATCTTCGCCTATGATTGTAGCATCTTTTCTCCACTATTATTATCAACATCATCATCATCAACATTATCAACATCAACATCAATCTATTCTATTGATTTATTTATACATTGTGAATCATTGTGTTTGTGTGCGGCTTTAAGAATAATATACTTTGGTATTCGATAATTGATAATCCCGTGCGCCTTGCTTTTTGTATTTTAGTTAGGTATTAGCCCTCTTGAATTTTCAGTCCAGTCCAATTGTTCTCCACAGTTAAAAAAGATATAATTTTTTTAGAAAACAGGATCCAAAGACGTGCAACTAAAATTCCCAAATGTATGAACATTTTATTTATGAAAAACGTCTTATAGCATTTAACTACTTCAAGAGCAAAAAAAACCATAAGGACTTATTCGAGAACTATAAAATCTTAAATGGAAAAGAGATAGAATATAGATAGAGATTTGTTTTTTCACTTTGCAGCTGGTTCGGTTACAAAAAGGGTCAGAGTTGAAAATTTAAAAATGCACTTCCTGCCAACGTTGTGGAAGCTAAAAGAAGACACCAGAAGACGAGAGGTACTATTGGAAACGGCCCACCAGCCCTCAACGCCACTTCAAGTCTTCAATAAATTTAGTGGCGTTACGGTGAGTATCTGTCCTGGCTGTATTGGTCAGAGATATTTACAGATTTACATACTTGATACAAAAATTGAAATTTCTTAAATAAAAATTATGTACATCATATTTTGCAATTTTATGCTATAACATCATGACTATCACCACAGACGTCGCCGTCGTCATTCGTAAAGATAAACAATAAATAATATTTTATTTGGATTATCTTTTACATTTTTAATATGTTTTTATCAAACCCCTTTGTACGTCAAAAGTCTTTAAAATATTAGGCTATACATAAAGACATAATACACTTTTAAATTTCAGTAAGAGTGTTACAGTACCTACTAATAAATGTATATATAGTATAATAGTATTAATATACATAATACACGTGCAAAAACTATACAGGCCTTATTAATGTATAAAATATATACAGTACATATTTACATATTTTGTTCAACATTTTAAACGGTATAATTACAGATGTTGATATAGATTAATTTCCCCTTATAATATTTAAAAAAAATTAATTTACAGTAAAACCTCGAATTAATCTAGAGAAAAATACCATCTCGAATTAAGCACCCCCTCCCTCACCTCGAAAAGCGGTATCAAGATAGCATGGGCTCCTTTTCAAGATTGTAGGCCGACATTACATAACTGAATTCCAGAAAAACTACATAAATTTAAGACATGCTTGGTTTATACAGTAGTTTACGTTACTTAATTAAGGTTAGGACACTCCATATGATACAGAGTGATTTTACAGTGGCCCTTTACTGTTGTATAATAGTAGTTCCCAAAATTTATACAGGATTCATTTTGAAAAGAAGCTCCCCGTCCCTCTTTATTTTGCGAAAACAGCCTAGATAAGAAGCCCATCTCAAAATGAAGCTTATCTCAAAAAGTAACCCATCCAAAGTTTGCAAAAGAAAAGAAAAAAAAAAGAAAAGCAGTAGAATCCCAGGGCTTTTATATGAAGTTGTATGGTATGGCACGGTACATTTTATTGAACACAATTGAGTTTCATGTTTATTCTTTTAAATGTGTACTCCCATTCATTTTTACTGATATTTTTCTTGATAGTAATTATTGAGTTTTTCTTTTGTGTCTTGTTTTCCGAAAGCTTCAAGATTGTTATTCATCTTTTCAAGGTGGTTTTCTTGCGGTTCCTGGTTTTCACGCCACATGACCAACATTTCTAAAATGGTGTCTACAATAGGTGGTGGAAAACTCATCTCAATTTGTTGTATTTCATGATCCTCGAGACCAATGTTGATGCCAAATGCTCTCCAGTCAACGCCAAGTTTCTTGGCAACGAATAGCAAGTCAACATCAGCCAAGTATCCTGGAATAAAGAATATAGTGTCATCTTATTAGTGGTATTATGCAATGTTTGGTAGAAATACAAATAGCAACAGAATTACGTCTCATGATAAATTATAACTCTTTGATTCAATCGTAAGTTGTAACAATTTCTATACAGAAATTATTATGCAATATTAATTCAATCTTATACCTCTCACTACAACTCACCTTCATGTTTGGCTAAAGGCGGAATTTCGTCTCCGAGATCACCACTGAATAATTCCCCAGCTAGTCTCTTGTAGCCATGTTGCCTCAAAGCAGTGCACAACATTTTCAGTTGGTGCGTTTCATTTTTGACATTTTCTCTCCAATACTTCATCATATTAGCGATAGCTTTTTGTGAGTTCAGCTGTTCTTCAGTCCAAAACCCTTTAACTCTAGCCCATGAAACACCTAAACGGACACCAAAACCTTTCCAGCTATAGTTCATTTCCTCAGATACAGTCGCAATTATGGCGTCATCTACAAAACCTAAAGTAACCATGACAAAATTGAAGCATCATATCATATAGAAATGTACCATTACTAGGCAGTACACTCAAGAATCAATGCTTGCAAAATAAGTACCATAATTAGTTTATATGAATTTGCCTTCAAACCTGTAGGTCTATTTTAACATTCTGCCAACTTACCTTTGTGTTCATTTATTGTTGTGATCAACATACATTTTACTCTAGGACAGACATTTGTACGTTTTTGCTTTTTCAAACTTTTTGCGCTACTATAACTGTGTCTATCTAAAATGATATTACAAAAGCCAGCTGTCGAAAGGTTTCTATTTAAAATAAATATTATTGAGAATGTGTTATTATCTTATGCATAGAGTTCCATTTTTCAAACTTTAGTTTGACATTTTATTCACATTCTTGATTTTTTTTCTCTTGTTACCTGTGCAGTTCTTAATTGGCCGGTATCAGTGGTGCCTTGATTATTCACCTGTTGGCCTTTTTTCGGAACCGGCAGCTTTAGCTCATTGTAAGTGTATTGTATATTTGCTAGTGTGAGGTAATGTATAAATTAATAAACTAAATTAATAAATAAACAGTATTTACCTTGTTTTAGCATGTCATCTTTGTCTGTGTGCTGTCGTTCGTGAGCGCTGAGCTGGACTGGAAAAAATAATTTTATACAAATATTGACTGCTCATGAGGGGAATGGTGAAATGTATTGCCCAGAGATGATGTGCAGATCCGTAGCCAATAAGATAGGCTACGGTCTCCACATCACTAAGGGGCTATATGTCACCGTTCCCCGTATATTGAGCAGTCTGTATTTGGTTTATATACCTCATACATAGATTCTACGAGACTACGAGAAGAAAATAGTACACACCAAGCAGTCCATTTAATATACCATAAGTATATATTATATCATATTATATAAGCCCCTATTAAGTGTATCAATAGAAGCCTACATTTCCGCGACAGCGATATTACTTCTTTCTTTCTTTGTCAAATTATTAACCTTGTTTATTGGGATAATTGAAGATCGATTTTTTGTGTTTTTTTAAACAAATCGGTCAAAATCTTTATTTTTTTTTATCAATATCTTTATTTTTTTCTCAATACTGATTAATACTAAGCTAAAATTATTTAGCCTCATTCAGTTGTTTACAAAATAAATTGTACCAACCCATACCTGGATGGTATGAATAAAATGTTAAGTCCACTCAAATGCAGCTGGGATTAAGTGAGAAAGAACAAACGCTAATTTTCAGGTAGCTCAAAAGCTGTTAGGTAATAAGCCCTCCCATCAAGCTATACCCCCTTTCACACAGGGGCGGATCCAGCAGGGGAGCCACGGGGTCCCGTCTCCCCATCCCCGTGATTCCTACCGAAAAAAAGAGAAAAAATTAAGATTTAAACAGAAGAAAGAGGGGAAAAAAGGAAGTGTACCTATGAGTTCAGTGGCGGATCCATCAGTGGGCGAAATGAGAGCGAAATGAGATTATTTAACCACTCACTAATTTTGAATTTTCTATTGATTGATGAAGAATACAACGCATATCCCAGATGCAGAAATTTTTCAACGATTTCATAAATCAGTATGGAAAAAAGGCCAAAAGACGGAGACCTAAGACGGAGTTTTCAGCCATTATTACAGAATATAGCACTCAGGTTTTTAGAACAGCTTTCCATGATCAGTGGTGTAACGCCTATGCACTCACGTGTGACGGTCTGCTGGGCCACTGATCCCAAGGGGCACCTTTGGTATCCCTACCCATGGACCAGTAGGCCTAGTGACCTCGCTCTACTCTGGGCCAAAAAGGGTTTGTTGATGCGTAACAGCACAATTATGTCTCTGACATCGACCCAACCATGGGACTGAAGTGGATATGGACTACCTATGGCACACCCCCACCCCACATCAGAACTGACAAGATCAGCAATTTCACTTTTCTATATTTTTGCAGGTTTGTTTTCTCTAACCATTTATTCTGCTTTTGTCCTGTTCTATGGTCTTGCAAAGTGTATAGACACTAGACAATGCTATATCCGCTATACAAGTGCACGATTTACCTTGTTTTTGCACGTCATCTTCAAATAGTCGGCGGTAGCGCGTCACTTCCATCCCATTGCTTCCACATGGCAACACATCCATGTCAAATTGGCGCACAATATGCATGTGAGCATCCATACAATCGCAAGCAATGTACCTTGTTAATTCCACGCCCCTTGCACCGCTCTGACAAAATATCTTTAGTTCTGCTTCGAGGAATATCAACACCTGTAGCAAATAGAAAACTGATCGTAAATCTACTGACGTCAATGACATGATTAATACATTATAACATAAAAAACTTGATTTCCTTAAGTGTTTCAAGCAATTGAAGGTAGTACAGTACCTTCTTACACACTATCGGCGAAGGTTCCTCTTCCCGGGTAAGCTGAGCAGCATTGAAGATTTTTCGTCTGATGATTGTTGTCTGCAAAACGAAAATAAGCCTCCGTCTTAAACAATTTTCAATAATGTGTCAGACATAATATATGATAATGGTGTTGTTTATTAAAATGATAATGATGATGGCGGTGGTATTGGTACAAATTACGACGATGATGATGATGATAATGATGATAATAATAACGATGATGGATGATAATGATAATGATGGTTGCAATTATTAATATGTAGAAGCATATGTACAAAGAACAGAAGAATATTCAACAGAATTGCAAGGAATATATAACAAAACTAATACTAACATTATTTAAATTATGATTAATGTATCAATTACCTGTATTGCATTTTATTCTTAAAAAAAATTAAAATTAAAGTATCAATTACCGGTATTGCATTTTATTGTTAAAATAAAAAGACATGGCAAATTTTGAATATAACAATGCATAATTTACCATTATGAATAAACTTGTCATTTATATTCAAATTAATGTAAGTACCGTTAAGCGGCAGAGAAAAAATAATCTTAAATTGCACTAATTACCTTAAACATACGACGATGCTTGATTGAGGCTACGCTTAAAACCACGAGGTGAAGTTCATCGATACTCAACTCCACGTGCTCATAAGATAATGTAGGCTCATCGTCTTTTACTTGGAATCTCTCAATGAACTTAGTTACTCCCCGCTGGAAAAGATCATCAGGTAGATAGCGACCAAAATCATGAAAGATAGAAACTGCCCGAATCCTGTAATCCTTATTTTGTGTGGCATCTATTCGTTTAGGCTGCAAGCGTGAAAGAACGTAGAAAAGACGTTCACCACCCTTAAAAACAGGAAACACTGTACGTCAAAAATTGTCAAAAATAGAAAAAGAACATTTTAAATAAAATTAATGTCTGCACTATGCTGAATATATTTTGCTTTTATCAATTGATGAGATAAAGCATATCCTATTAGGACAAAGAGAAAACAGGATATATTGAAAAAAAAATACCATTGTAATTTTTTTCTCACACACCAGCCCAAACTTCTGCATGAGAGATACAAAGAAGTCGAACGTTTCATCAGAAAAATTGAACTCCTTCCATAGGTGTCTTAACAGATGCTCCTCTAGGATCCCCTTGTCCAATCTCCTCCAGGCTTCTATGTGCTTTGGTTTCTGAAATTTAATAATTTTAGCTCAAAATCCTGCTATGCTTTTATATTAGCCTACAAAAATATATCGGGAATAAATAAATGTAAAATTGTGTAAAGTTGAGCTTACCATTAACTTTGGATCAATAACGGTGATTATTGTTTTAAGCATGTCGACTAATTGCATCACATCCAAAACAATAATATTCCTTAAGGCTTCGTCATCAGGAAAGTAAAGAATCTCACCAAGGTCGTGTAAATACTCAAGCAGCACCCTTTGAGCATCTTGTTTGACCCCACAACGCTCAACCAAAGCAATCACCTGATGAAGAAAAAGCTTGCACCGATTAACACCAAGTTTAATGGTTTCTACATGTGTAGAAGACTATAAATACAAATGACAGAGGTTAAAGCAATGGCAATAACAGCTGAAATTCCTTTTATGCAGAAAAAAATTCCTGGATTTTTCAGGATGATTGGGAGTATGATTCAGAGTTTAAAAATTAAAGAATGTTGAATAGATGCATTACCTCTTTGGTTGGTAAATAGATATGTTCCACTTTCAACTTCTGGATTTCTTGTTGAACAAGCAGCCATTTCAAAGGCAGTTTCCTAACCATCCTCTTTGCAAACTTTAAAATCTGGTTCATAATTTTAAAAGCATTGCTCCTTGCGAACGGTAAGCTGTTCTCAATAGCAAAGAAACTTGACACCATTGTTTCATAAGGTTTCCCTTCCAATGCTTTCCGAATTTTATTGAATATTTCTTCGGCCTGAAATTAAGCGTAAATATTAATCATCAGACATAAATGTGAAAAAGCATTGACAACAAGATCAATTACGTCCACTGCAGGAACGAAAGCAACGTAAAAAGCAAGATAATGATGGCAATGTGTAAGTGGTCATGTTCATTGATTTTCAGTGGATTGGATTGGATTTATTCGGTGTAAACACCAAGAATAGCCCAGGAAGACTTATTTCCAGTGGGGTCCTTCTGGTGGTGATTGGGCAGTACACCGGGAGACAATCCGAAGGGTACTGTGTTCTTTTACATGCACATATGGGCCATAATGCACACGGGACCAACAGCCTAAACGTCTCATCCGAAAGACAATGCGCTTATGAAACTTGTATTTCAGCCCTCTAGCTGAAGCACAAGAAGAGGCAGCGATGGGAATTGAACCAGGAACCTAGAGATCTTCATGGTTCAGCACACACACAGTGGCTACCACCAGAAAGGATTAGTCATGTAATTCAAATATTTGTAAAAAAAAAAAAAAAAAAAAAAATTAAAATTTGTCATTTTGCGTCTTAGCTTCCGTCTCCCTTTTGTCATCAGGCATTTATATGATTCATGTGTTTTATATTTGTGTGGCAATATCAATTTGTTATTGTAGTCACATTTTGAATATATCGTCATATAAAAAAATGCTTCATGGTTATATACTTGTACACATTTAATTTATGCGGTATAACTTATTACCTTCTATTTTTATTGTGGTATATTTATGATATTTACGGTACTTTATACTGTTTTATTTTTTACTTGATGTATGGGTGTATAACATAGTTGTTTACCTTTCTTTTCTGTTCCTCTTCATTCCCTTCGAGGCTGCCTAGGTGAGTACCTGTCTCTTATACACATCTAGATGAAGAAAATGATTTACAATCTATTTTTTTGACTATTGAAAACTCATTTAAATACCTAATAATTATTTTTGTAACCTAATAATAACTATAATTTATTATTTGATGTATAGAATTTACTCGTTGCATAACATGATATATCGGCTGGCCCCCGAAATCCCAGATGCTCATAATGAAATCGTTGCCAGATTTTTGCCATTCTTGCGTCGCATCTCCCCTTGTGAACTTGAGTTCTTTTATTCGCTCCTGGACTTTAGTGGCGATGGTTTCGGGGACCTCTTCCATCGAATGGGTATGTGTCTGCTCTTTGGTATCTGATTCCATTTTCGGGTTTCTGGCGTCAAAATTCGATGATGATTGTCCTTATAGAAGATGCAGAATAAAAATTAAATTTCATATTTCAAAACCAAGACATAGTGGGGGTTTCCACTGACCCTACAAGGTTTTGGTAGTACTTGATTTCAGAATTGGTATAGTGCAGTGTCAGTGGGTCAGTGGGGGAGTTTTTTTTCAATTGTTCCAAGTTCCAAATTAGGTGTTCCATGTGGTATTCTTTTGGAAATGTTCCTTCAATACTTGTTCCATGAGCAACCATATCAATTATGTTGTTAATAGAGGTGTGATGGCCCTCCGTATGAAATGCTAATAAATATAATATATTTATTTGATCAATTCCTTATGAAATGTAAACACGAGCACCTTACCCTGGTTATCTTTCGTCTCGGCTTTAGCTGGTGATAACACGCTCTTGAAATAATTGTAAACAAAAAGAAATAAGAAATTAACCATTATATACATTAGCTGGATTTTATCCATTATTTGTCATTATTAGTAGCATTAAATATTTCACTATTAACCAAATTAAATGCTCATGAATATCACCAAAATGATAGTGTGTAAATCTTACTTCTCTTGTTACTTCTACATTCTTGTCCGTTTCTTTTTCTAATATTTTTTTCGCTATGGAATCTGCCATTTTTGCTTCATACATGTCATTGGCACCAGCTGTTCAGAGATAAATAATTTCGTTAGTTAAATAATTGATTTTAGACTGATCTCTCTGTGAATGCTGATCTGCATATTTACTGACCATTTACAATAATCCCAACTGCGCACAGAAATGACTTATAGCAGGGGTGGGCATAAAAATTGGTCGGAGGGCCAAAGGGAATTTCTGAATTAACACCGAGGGCCACACCCAAAATTTGATATTTCCAGTCCGCTTCTAAAAACAACCAAGCACTGCTTTTACACCACTTTATTTTCAGTTTTAATATTACTTTTTACATATGATCGGTGTCGGGCTGTAAAAAACAAGGTGTTTTCTAGCCAATATTGCTTGGCGGGCCGCACACATAAGGTTTTTATGTTATATTCGCGGGGCTGCAATAAAATCGCTGTTGGGCCGCATGCGGCCCGCAGATCGCACTTTGCTCACCTGTGACTTATAGGATAGGTACAAGGAAGTTTTCACATTTAGTGAAAGCAGTTAGGTGCACTGGAAATTATTTGGAATCCCCTCCTTGACGTCGGGTTTCAATCCTTCACTGTGCATTTAGTTTGTGTCCTTGAGCAAGGCACTTTATTTACATTGCTTCAATCTACCCAGCTGTATCAGTTGGGTATTAGAAAATTGGTTGACCAGGGCCCCAGCTGAACATCCCGCTTTCATCCGTTTCACGCTTTTTGAATATTGGGACAAGTTACAGTACATGAGCCATGTGGCTCGGTATGGATTTATATTACTTGTATAAAAAGTATAAAAGTGTTTTGCTTTACTTACAATGATCAGGAGGTGCTTCCTTCCAATTCAATTCATCGTGTATTTCATGGGTACACACCTTTGTGTTGGCAATTGCGTCTGTAATACTCTCATTTGGATCAAAACTAAAGCAAAATAAAATGATTAATCTAAAGATATTGCTACTACAGAAAGCATAATATAGATACACATTACTGTACAGAATGTACATATTTAAATTAATATATAAATAAATGTGTGGAAATGGATTGATATTAATGAATGATACATTCATTTAAGTTGTCGATTATTGAATTTAATACAAGGGATATTTGAATTACAGGTTAATTAAAAATCATTACTGAAGGCTTCAAATAATTCAACTGGTTAACTAAATGTAGTGAAAGCTAACACTGAATATATTTAGCTTACGTATTCCTTAAAAATAAATAAATGTGTGGAAATAGATTGAAATTAATGAATGATACATTCATTTAAGTTGTCGATTATTGAATTTAATACAAAGAATATTTGAATTACAGGTTAATTAAAAATCATTAATGAAGGCTTCAAATAATTTAACTGGTTAACTAAGTCTAGTGAAAGCTAACACTGAATATATTTAGCTTACGTATTTCTTAAAAATGACTTGATAGTAGATGTTTTTCCGACTCTCTCGAGGCCCATAAAAACTGTCCTGCCTTGATTAACCTCTGCTTCTCCCTCAGCTAGAGCATCATTAAAAGCTTTCATTGCTTCGTGCCCACGCGCCAAGATTTCCATTGGAACATTCCCCGCTTTAAGTATAAATATTTCTGATTTACACATTGAATTACCTCATGAAACTTGTTATATATGAAAAGAAACCGATAATATTATCGAGGCCTGCAATGTCGTTATTTACTAGAGAGGTCTTTAACCTATTCATTCATCTGTAGGCATACAACTTTTTCATTGCTTTAATTGTGATATTGCATTTCTTTCCCCATAACAATATTCTTATCAATGGTGCAACGATTACGTTGATCATACCCATTTGTGATTACAGATAGCAGTTTAACCCAGATAAAAGCAACTTGCAAAACAAAAAAAGAGGATTAAAAATTATTTATTCCAAAAAGAGGAGGAATAAATTACGATGGGGAACAAAAAAATATAGGCCTAGAGTATTAGTTTTATTTTCATCATTGAATAAATGTTTTACAGTATTATATTTATATTCAATGATATACTGAGTGATATTGCTATCATTCTGTGGGAATCAAGCATAAAAAACGCTGTAAAACATCACAAAGTGCAACCAACAGCCCCCTGGATCACTAATCAAAATACTGTAAATAATACCACTTAAAGATTAGGTTTCTTATTTACTGTGTTTAAACATTAAGTACTGTATGATCACATAAATGACACATAAAAAATGAATGTACATTTGGTGTTTCATTAATTTCATACTAAATATACAGTAAAGCCGTGTTATGGTATAGAACAATATAAAGTAAATGACAGCAGCACTTTTGAGACTAACAATATTTATTCTCTAGCTTTCGTCCACACAGTGGACTTCATCAGGAGACTGTGAAGTCCACTGTGTGGACGAAAGCTAGAGAATAAAGTATATATTGTTAGTCTCAAAAGTGCTGCTGTCATTTACTTTATATTGTTCTATACTAAATATACACAATGCGAAAATATACTATCAATTTCAAAATGATTTATACAAAACAAAAACAAATAAATATGAAATATGTTGGTATGAACAGCTCACTTTGTAAGAGACGCATAAGCATTTCTTTCTGTTCTTTTCTGTTTCTAGAATCGTACTTCCTACATGTGTTGTGCACATACATGTCAGCTGGAGTTTGACCACGCTGCAACTACAATCACATATCATACCTCATGAAATTAATTAATATTAATCAAGAAAAACATACTTCATGAAATTAATTAATATTAATCAAGAAAAACAATTACATTAAAGCTTCAACAAATGTTACACAAATAAAAAACAAACAACTGAATTGAATAAATTTACATATCAATTTAATTAATCTTTAATTCTACATTTGCATCTTGTAGAGATTCATGTTAACAATAAAACGCTGATGAAAATCAATAAACATTTCGCCTGAGTGTATAGGCCGAAATCCTAATATCATTAGTCACCACTACCATATCGACATTATGGTTGCCATCAATCATTTTAGTATGCTCCTTATCACCATCATTATTATCAAAATATTATTAATATTAATAATAATAATAATAGGCCATAATAATACTAATAATAATAATAATAATAATCATCTTCGTCATTTATCTACTTTACCATATTTTTTATCTTGGCATCTGCTCCATTCGTTAATAAATAACGTGTTGCATCTGTGTGATCTCGGTATGAATGGTTAGCTCCTAACAACTTGTGAAGTGGAGTATTGCCGTCCTGTAACACAATTGAAAACAGTGTTAATCAGAATAGGCCTATGTCTGTCTCTTATACACATCTAGATGTGTATAAGGACACAGTCAACACCTCTGTAAACAAGAAAAATGATGCCATCTAAAACATTACAGTTAAAATTTAGGTAAATATAACCAACTTGTACTTTGTATAAAATACATTTTTCATTACAATTTTCATTCAATAAAATAATGTAAAAGTACTATCATGTTACTAAAAATATCCTTTATGATGATTATTCCATTCTATTCAATTTATTTTATTGCTGCATTTTTTCATCATAAGAAATTAGGCTAAACAAAAAAAGTTATTGTGTTGGCTACAACCAATCGAACCAAAATGTTCGAAAATTGAGGGTCATCATTTTATTTTATTTTATTACTTATTACAATGAAAAATATATTCAATGAGTTAAGAAATGTGGAATAAGCTTATCTTGCAACGGTAGGCGATGCAACAGTGTTATGCGATTATTTTACTCTTCAATATAGATTTTAAAATCGTGTTTGTTGTATTTTTAATATATTTTCTACTTTTTAGGCATAAACACATTATCGGTCAAAAAAAAAAAAAGAATTTTTTTAATGCCATTATCACACAGCATTTAGGCTACATGGGGAAATGCACTGATAATAATGCTACTACTATAGATAATAACACGAATACTAATAGATGTGTTTATTTATAAATCATATAATACCAAAATACTGATATATTATAGAGAAATAAAAAATATGACAATGGCAGTAACAACAGTAATGATAATAATAATGACAAAACAAACTTCATTTATAATAAAGTTTATTTTGGTCAATAATGCGTACTGTAATAAAATTAAAATAATAAAGTTTATGCTCGTATGTGTTTTTACGCATAAGTTTAACCTTCGTATATTATAATATAAAACTACACTGATTGTTTTATATGGTAAGTCAATCACTCTCTACTGTACTGCAATATTCAACCTGTTGTTGTAGCGGTCGTCGATTGTTTTGATCACTACACATTAGTTGTGCGTATGCCGATTGTGCTGCAGTACGCACCAACGCTAATCAAGTTAATTGTATTACATCAGTGTGTTTACATCAGACGACGATGTGTTTTGAATGATAAACTCGCCTGTGTCATGAGTAGGCCTAATTATTAACATACTGGTAAGCATCTGTCAAAAAATACAACCGTACATTGACAGCTCAAACAGGGCTGTAGCCACAGAAATTAAAGTGGTCAGGTTGCAAGCGAAGCAAGCAAATGAGGCTGGAGGCCAGGGGGGCGACGAAGGGCTCACGTGAGGCATTCCAGCGGCCTATTCTATTTTGACAATTAACTAACAGACCAATTTACATGATGTTCTGTAATAGTACCTTTAAAAATATTTTATATAAAAATATGTTTTAAACTATTATTAGAACTATGATGAAGCTAAACAATAACACTTTGAATTCAAAACAGACAGGTTTATTCAGGAGAAAAATTGTTAATTTTTGTTATTTTAGTATTTTGCTTTTTGACAATGACAAAATCTAAGATTCGATCTCAACTGAAGAAAAAAGTGCATCCTAAATGCATGCTAGATGCATGCTAATGCTTAATTAATTATAAAACTTATACTAAAAAGAAGAAAATATTATATAAACTATCATTAAAAGTTTACCCTAAATTTCAGACTTGTGGTTCCTGAATTATGTCAAGGAGGTAGTAGGTTGAGTCTAATAAATACCGTAGTAAACATACAGTGGAATTTAACCTTTCTTCCTATTCAAATCCTAATAAATTAACTAAAGTTTGTCAAAAAAGTGTCCAGGTTGAAACCTTGCTGTATTTTTTAACTGTTTTCTGTACAGCCTTTTTAATTGTTCATGCTGACTTAGGCTAGACTACATAGCCCGGCCTACATACATATGTAGAAATAGGCCTATGTAATGCAAAATGTAATCATCATATTGTGTGTACAATACTAATAGAAACAAAATCAATTCCAAAAATGGCTGAAAAAAGCTGATAAACACGCTTTTTACTTATTATGAGTGATTCAGAAACATTCATCTTGGCTATCACAACATGGACGCCCTATGTCAAGAAATTTTGATTCAGAATCATTAATGTGCTTGGCTTTCACTCAACGGTGAACATTAATAAAAGTAATAAATACACAGTATTTTACAACCATAATTATATTTAATATTAAATATTTAGTTATAATTTTATGAGTAATTTATTAATTACATAATGACGATTTGTCATTCAGTGTTTATGTGTTGTTTCCTATACGTACCATGTCTTGCCTATTCACATTGCCTGCAGAAATCCTGAGTGCTGCTCTCAGTTGTTGAGTGTAGCCGAGTGCAGCAATGTGATGTAGAATACAACGACCGAACTACACAATGAACAAGGAATATGAAAACAGAGAATATACAACACATCATCTCTTCAAAAAAATATATTTTAGGTCATTATACTTTTTATTGATTTTTTCTATAAAAATGTAGATTTATATTCAGTGCACATTGACAACTCGAACGAGTCTAAACATGAATGTGAATTTTCTATTTAAAGCTGTTTTTCAGCAAATTTTATTGGTTCGTGGGCGATTCAGAATCATTCATTTGTTTGGCTTTCAATCAACATGGACGCCCTATGTTTTGTACAAGTTAAAATCACCACCTCCTAAAAAATATTTTTTTAGTTTATGTATTTTTTTTCGAATTTCTTATTGAAAGTTTAATTACTATAATCAGTGATCAATACAGATCAAAACAAGATCAAACATGACTATGATTGTTTTATGTAAAACTGATTTTTCAGTAATTTTCAACACCTTTATTTTGGTTGTGAGCTGCTTCTCTTCTCATTCAAGGCGCAATGACTGTATATTTGCACGACCACCGTGCGGGAAATTTCAACAATAAACAATCAACATTGATCGTAAAATACAATAAAATATCATTTTTATAGTGTGGATGATGATTAAATTATGTTTTAAATGTAATAAGTTGTTGTTGTTAGGTTAGGTAAGAATTGATGTAGAGTGGTGTATGGTATGTTGTGTATAGATGCTGTGTTGTTGTATTTTGTGTGTTGATGTCGTAATTGTAATGATACATAATTCTACTCACCGAGTGCACGTAGTCCACAGTTTCTACCGTCGCTGATTTTAAACTCTCACTGATGACATCACGTGGTGAGCTGTAGAACACAATCGGATATAATAACGGGCAGCCGTACTACGAAAACAACAAAATATGATGATAACAAAACACATTCAACTATCACACATACACAAAATATCACATATAAACACAACTTAATCACATCATAATTACATTAAATAATCACAATCAATTAAATATTTAAATTTTAGGCGCTGATGCACTTTAGTAGTGTAACACTTCTATCTTCAAAAATTGTCTTTTTACCTACTGTGCGCTCCTAACAATATCTTACAATTCCTTTTCATCCAGTTCTCTCACTAATTACACCAGTTTTTAGCATTTTATTACTAAAAACAACGTTCTTTCCCAGCGATTCATGATGGTAGCGACTCGCGATGTTTGTTTATAAATAAGTAATTGCCAGGTTGTTATCCAATTTTAAGGACAGCTCTCTTCGTTGCCAGGTTTTTTTTTCATTTTGTTAATTAAAGCGATGCCTTTTCATAAATTGTTATTTGTATTTTTATCTGTATTTTTATATCGTTGTTCTGGTACAGTACAATATTAATAATGACATATTACATTTAGGGACAATTCAGCTATTACATACTGAAGCTGTATTCACATCGAATTCCCATCAGAAATTGTTTTTGTGTGATCGATGCTTTTAAGACCATATTTTAGTCAACAACCGTCACAGCTCTCAACAATCTTCAACAAGCAACAAGGATTTGCCCAGGGGTGGCGCCAGCGGGGGGGGGGGCCTCCGTCGGGGAGAGCTGTCCCCCACCCCCGTCGGGGAGAAGAAGCACAATTCGTCGCTCTCTGCCCTGTTGACGGTAATTAGTATGACCGCAATTGAGCAAACAATAGGCCTAATTATCACACATAGCACCTTTATTACATTTGACCCAAAAATTATTACACTTAAAACCGTTATTACATTTAGACCCAAAAATGATTGCACATAGGACCTTTATTACATTTAGACCCAAAACATATTAAACTTAGAACCTTTATTACATTTAGACCCTAAAATTATTACACATAGGAACTGTAGGCCCTATTACATTTAGACCCAAAAATTATTACAATCAATCA